GAGTGAGGAAAGGACTTTTGTTTGAGTTGATGCGACTCCATTATTAGTAAGAGGGATTCTTATGAAAGACCTGAAGGTGTTGTCTTGCTTATGGGGGAGGACAAGTTGAGACTGCGTTCTGACCTTACTTAATTTTCAGGTGACTATAGACACTTAGGACCAAAATGTTAGGAAGACAGTTTGAAATGGGGCTTGGAGCATAGGAAGAAAGGTTGGTAATTAGAGAAATAAATATAATATGGAGTTAATCAGCATGTTCTATATTTCATCATTTCCCAAACCACATTTGACCACTTCCATGTATATCAGAAATCAGGATGCACCTTGTGATCATTTACAGCCAGGTAACTATGAAGTAATTGTTCTTTGCTGTTAGAGCATGCACAAGGAGGTATAGTTGGTTTTATTTACTCTTACTGTTTGAGGGGCCCGCCACCCAGCTCCCAAGTAAATCACACATGAAGGCTTATTCTTTCTTACAAATGCCTGGCCTTAGCTTGGCTTGTTTCTAGTCAGCTTTTCTGAAATTATAGCATCTACCTTTTGCCTCTGGGCTTTCACCTTTTTCTATTTCTGTATACCTTTCTTTACTTCTTACTCCATGGCTTGCTATGTAGCTGGGTGGCTGGCCCCTGATGTCCTCCTCTCCTTTTCTAGTTCCTTTATCTTCTCTTCCCAGATTTCTCCTCTTATTTATTCTTTCTGTCTGCCAGCCCCACCTGTCCTTTATCCTGCCTTGCTATTGGCCATTCAGCTCTTTATTAGACCAATCAGGTGTTTTAGACAAAGTAACACAGCTTCACAGAGTTAAACAAATGTAACATAAAAGAATACAACACATCTTTGCATCATTAAACAAATGTTCCATAGCATAAACAGATGTAACACATCTTCAACTAATATTCCACAACAGGCAGGCTACCATCACACTTGATGATCACAGTAGCTTGACAAAAATTTTCTGGAGACGCTGTTTTAATCCTCAAAAACAAAATGGAGAAGATGAGAAACAGCAAAACATACACATTCTGAACTTGCCTGAAGTAGGAGCCAAAAATCTGTTTGACCCTTGATATTGTCAGAGGAATGGCTCTAGGAAACCCTTCCAGGTGACAAGATCCGTAGATGCTGAAGTCTCATCAAGAGATGTAGCATTTGCGTATGACTTATGCACCTCCTCTTCTATACAGATGCTCCTTGACTTAGGGCGAGATTTTGTCCCATTGGGTTCATGATAAAGTTGAAATACCTTAAGTTGAACCATCATTAAGTTAGAAACTGTCTGTAGTTTAAGTCATCTCTAAATTGCTTATGCAGTAGAGTATACTTATGTTATACTTTTATTGTAATTACTTAACTAACTGTTCCTTAATTACTTATTAAATATCCAGTAGAGAGTAAATTCTGTGTAAAGAGTCGTTACACTAGATGGTTTAGGGGAAAATGATAAGAAAAACAGTCTGTGTGTTTAGAATACACAGTGCCATTGTGCTTTTTAACAGTACATAAGTGCTAGATGAACAACTAAACAAACAGTCCTGTGGGGAGCCGCAGCAGGGCATACCAGCATGTCATTCCATCCAAACCGACTCAGCAGACTGCTCAACACACAGCACATTCAGGTTGTGACTTTTGAAATTTTCTGTTTTCCCCAAATAGTTTTGATTCTAGGTTGATTATCCATAGGTGTGGAGTATGTAGCTATGACAGGTTGGTAATCATTACCTTTACATAATTGGGATGCTGTCATCAATAGCTTTTAGATCTTTTAAATGCTTTGTTACCAGCACTATCACACACACACACACACACACACACACACACACACACACACACACACACACACACACGCTTTTGCCAGTTTGCAAATACTTACTAACATGTGTTTATAAAAATGTTATATGGTAAGAATATGCCTACATCTGAAAGAACTGATTCAGGATTACAAAATAAAAATGCTAAGTATGAAAAAACATCATTGAGGTGAAGATGTAACTGTGGCAGAGCACCTGCCTAGCATGTACAGGGCCCTGGATTTGATCCCCAGCACTTCAAAAACAAAACAAAAACTGTATAGCAAAGGTATTGTATTGTACAAGTTTAATATGCAGAGTTTCCTGTTAGGGATAGTGAAAAGTATTCTGTCTGGGAATATGGTGATAGCCAAAGCCAAGTGAAGATTTAGAGTTTCATAGAATCTACTGTACATACGGCTTACTTCACCAGATTCCTTTATTTTTTACTTTTTTTAAACTTAGCATTCAAAGTATTAGGCTTCATCATTGCATTTTCCTACTTTTTTTGTTGATTTCCATCCCCAGCCTGCTTTCCAACTCCCCTGCTCCTTCACTTCTCTTCCCCCAATCCACTTCATGTCACATGTGTTCTGTTACTCTCTTTTCCTTCCCTCCCTCCTTCCTTAACACTCCCATTTCCTCACACTCCCCTCTCTAGTTTTATACCCTCCAGCATACATATACATATAGACACAAATGAAAATCGAGGATTTGGGGCTTAGGCAGATGGCTCAGTCTGTAAAGTGCTTAGAAGGCAACAGAAGAACCTGAGTTTCATCCTCAGAGCTCACATCTTAAAAATGCCACATATGTATTGTAATGCCAGTGCTGGGGAGGCAGGGGCATCACTGGCACTGGATGACCAGCCAGCCTACTCTAATCGACAAGCCCTAGGCCACTGAAGAGATGCTGTCTCAAAAACAGGGTGCTGAAGGAACCACACCAGAGGTTCTCTGCTGGTCTTCACATATGTGCACATGAACATATGCACACAAATGTACACAAAATCTAGGATCCACATAGGAGAGAAGACATACAGTATGAGTCTGGATTATTTTGCTCAATGTGCTAATTTAGATTTCCATCTGTTTTCCTGCACATGTCATGATTTCATTTTTCTTTTATGGCTGAATAAGTTCAGTTGTGTGAATGTGCCACATTTTTTTAGCCATTAATCAGTGGACAGATATAAAGGGTGTTTCTGTTTCCTGACTGTTATGAATAGTGCAGTAATAGACACAGATGTTCAAGTGTTCTCATACTTATTCCCATAGTGGCTACAGCAATTTACTCTCCAATAAGCAGTTAATGAGGGTCCACTTCTCCCATATCCTCTCCAGCATTTGCTGTCATTGCTTTTTTTCTTGATTTATGATTTATTTCTATTTTATGTGTATGGATGTTTTGCCTGCATTTATGTATATGCACCACATGAGAGGTACCCCAGAGGTCATAAAAGGAGGTCAGATTCCCTGCAACTGGAATTTCAAAGGGTTGTAAGCCACCAGGTGTGTGCTGAATCCTGTGCAAGAGCAGCATGTGCTCTTAAGTGCTGAGCCATCTCTAGCCCCATGTTTTTGTAATGATAGCCATTCTGACTTGAGTGAGATGAAATATCAAAGCAGTTTTAATTTTCATTTTCTGATGGCTAAGGATGTCAAACACTGTAAAATGGTTATTAGCCATTTGTATTTCTTCTTTTGAGAACTTTCTGTTCAGCTTGTTACCTTATTGGTTGATTGGATAATTTGTTTTTGTGATGTTTAATTTTTGCAGTCCTTTAGATATTAACTCCCTACCTGAAATTTAGCTGGCAGAGATTTTCTCTGATTCTGTGGATTGTCTGCAGGTAGTTTCTATTTCTGTGCAAGTGCTTTTGAAATTCATGTAATCCCATTGGTCAGTTCTTGGGATTATTGCCTGTACTATTGGAAGCCTTTTCAGAAAGATTTTGCCTATGCTTATATCTTGAAGTGTTTTCTCTCTAGCAATTGCAGAATTTCATTTCTAACATTGAGGTCTGTGGTTCATTTTGGATTTATTTTTGAGGTGGGTGAGAGATACAGATCTGATTTTATTCTTTTGCATGTGTAAATGCAGTTTTCAAAGCAGCCGTTAATGAATACCAAAAATTCAAGTAATCCTTTACAGTATATTAAAATAAGACTAGAAACCAACAGGAAGAGAAACTATACAGATACCTGGAGACTGAAAAATACGTTTTTGAATGTATTGAGGAAATCAGGAAGGAATTTTTTTCAATTCTTAGAATCAGATGAAATAGCACAATCTAAAAGAACCTCTGGAATACAGCTAAGCATTTCTAGAGGGCAAGCTTACTTCAAAAATTCCTAGTAGATTCTAGAGAGATGATTTAGTGCTTAAGAGTACCTGCTGATTTTACAGAGAACCCAGCTTCTGTTCCCAGCAGCTACATGGTGTCTCACAGCCATCTGTAACTCCAGTTCCTGGGGACTCAATGCCCTCTTCTAGCCTCTGTGAGCAGAGACATGCATGTGGTGTATTTGTATACATGCAGGCAAAACACCCATATACATAAAAAACCAACAAAACGAAAATACAACTTTTTAAAAACAGTGGTCTCAAATAAACTAATGATGCACCATAAGTTTCTAGAAACACAGTAAATGGCAAGAAATAATAAAGATTCAGGTAGAAATAAATGGAATAGAAACTAAAAGAACAACATATAGAATCAATGAAACAAAAAAAAAACCTGGTTCTCTAAACTAATAAACAAGATTGACAAAGCCCTAGCCAAACTAACTAAAAAAAAAGAGGCTGAAATTAATAAAATCAGAGATGAGCCACGGTGAAATCCAGGAAGGGTCAAGGGGACCGATCAATGTAGAAAATGTGTATCTTTGTCCTTTAAGGTACAATTCAAACAGCACATTTCTTAGGAAAAAGTCTTTAACACCCTCCATCACAACTTTTAACAGTTAAGTACAAAATAAAAAGAGAAGGTCATAGGTTAGCTAAACTTAGGTGCTCACTTGTGCACTATGCTTTTATTGTTCCCCTATTTGTGCTTTTAGGGAGAAAGAAATACAGGCTGTTATTGTGAATGCTTATTCAAAAGGAATCCCAGAGTAGGAATAGAACTTAGCAAGATGAATCAGAGTGGGAAGAACCATAGTTACTCTCTGATGATTTTGCTAACCTAATGTGTTCATTTTAAAGGAAAGCCCTGAAGAAAGGACAGTAGAACTGAGCTCTATTCAGGTAAATACATTTACTTTCATCACGGATATGGATTTCATGTAGCTTAATCAAGAGATTTTGTATGCCTTTACTTCTTTTTTAGTCTTAGTTCTACTGACTGCAAAAAGTAAAAATGAAAAGTTTGCCTTCATAATGCTGTCAAATAACTTCCATCCAGATTTATTGGCATAGACTTTCATTGTCTTAGGATATAACTCTTCATAGTTTGACTGTTGCTGTTCTGATAATCCGTTGTCTCATGTAATAGTACAGTTGTGTGTATCTAAAGTGAACCTGATGTAAGAACACTGTGTACAGTGTTCTCATTATCCTAGAAAATCCTCCTGTGTACACAGCATAGACTGTGCCATAATATCTTTTGTGTCATCTATTTTAGATACTAAGTTTCCAGAGTATGAGAATGGTGGCACTTACCCATTTCACAGTACTTGCTCTGATGAATGTTTTGCCAATATAATTAAAGCAATATTTAGATCCCTTGGATTAACTTAGTGACTTAGCTCTAATAATGAACCTAGCCCTTCTAAGCTGTTGTTTGCAATATGCATTCAGGATGTTGTAAACTTTTCTGGGGAAAGAAAAGGAGGCAGGGAACAAGTATTCATGTTCAATAAGTAATTTTTTTCTTTTTTGTACCTGCAGGGGAAGAAATGGAACTGGTATTTGGACTATTTATTTTCAGAAGGTTTTCAAGGCTTGAAACTTTTCATAAAAAGTAGTATTCACCGTTCTTCTCTATCCCAGTCAGAGATCAAAACCTCAATGGTAAACATTAGAAGAATGTTGACATAAACAAACTGGGCATGCTAAACTAAACTCCTCATTGCTAGAGAGGCCATGTAGCTCAATGTGAGTTTCCATACCCATTTCACAAGCCAACTGCTGTCTTCAAGGAGTACTTAGACTGGCTTTCTGTCCATAGCTCAGGAGAACCTTGGTGTGACTAACTTATTTTTTAGTATTCAGATTTTTAATTTACTAATGAAAAAAAAAATCTCTTCATCTGCTTTCTAGTGGGAATTTTTATCTGCTATGTTAGTAGAAGATAACGAGTAATATAAAGTTACTCTGCAGACATTGTTATGCAGAATACTCTGCAGTGTCTGGAATCCTGGGGACATTTCTGTTTTTCTTATGTGAACACCAGCAGCAGCACCAAGTTACTTATAATAGGCTGCTACATGGGTGTAACACATTCCTGAGAAGCTGATAACTGTTTGGGCCTGCACTGACAGTAATGTATGTAGGAAGGAAGGATAGAGGATGAAGAAATTTCTGATTTTATTGGTTTTATTTCCTGAAACCATCATATTATTTGAGTGTATATGTGTATGTATGTATTTATGTATATATTCAGATTTAAATTTCCAGGCCTAAATAAACTAACTTAAGCTTTACCTTCAGGAGTAATTCTGAAGATTAAAAAAAATCCATAACAGAGATTATTTTTGCTGAGAATTCATTGTAAATTTTGTTTCACTACTACTGAACAACTTCCATTTAGTACATTCACATTGAGAATAACATCTGACTTTTTAATGGAGACTCTGAAAGCCAGAAGGGACTGGACAGATGTTCTACAAGCTCCAAGAGACCACAGATGCCAGCACAGACTACTATACCCAGCAAAACTATCAATTCCAATCTCCAGAGAAAGAAAAACATTCCACAATAAAAACAAATTTAAATAATTTCTGTTTACCAATCCAGCTTTATAGAAGGCACTAGAAGCAAAACTTCGTCTGAAGAAAAGAGTACACCCAAGAGACACAAGGAATCCTAGAACAGTTAGTCACAATGGGGGGGGGATTCCCACACCACCACGACAAAAATAAAGGGAATTAATCAGCACTTCTCATTAATAATTCAATATTAATGGTCTCAGTTCCCCAATAAAATGACATAGACCAACAGACTGGATTAAAAAACCAAAAAATGCACCTCACCACCTATGACAGACATCACCTTAGGGTAAAAGAATGGAAAAAAAGTATTTCAAGCAAATGGATCCAAGAAGCAAACATACTTTAAACAAAACTAATCAGAAGAGATAAAGAAGGACACTAGCTACTCATTAAAGGAAAAATCCACCAAGAGGATATTACAATTTTAAACATTTATGCACTGTATTAGTTAGGGTTCTGTAGAGAAACAGAATGTGTGTGTGTATACATAGCATATATGTGTGTGTGTATATATATAATATGAAAGTCCCTTAGATAGAGAGGTAGACAGACAGACAAATAGGGGATTTATTAGAGTGGCTTACAGATTATGGTCTGACTAGTCCAACAAAGGCTGTCTCTCAACAGAACGGCCAAGAACCCAGCAGTTGTTCAGTCCACAATGCTGGATATCTCAGCTGATCTTCAGTATATACCAGGATCCTGAAGAAGTAGCCTCTAATACTGGTGAAGTAAACTTGCAAAACTTCATTTCTCCCTTGTCCTTTATATAGGCTTCCCCAAGAAGGTGTGGCCCACATTTATGGTGAGTCTTCCTACCTTAAATGACCCAATTAACTAAAAATCCCTCATAGGTGTACCCAATGGCTTGGGTTTTTAGTTAATTGCAGAAATAGTCAAGTTGACAACCAAGAATAGCCACCACATGCATCAAGTTCTGTTCTCAGCACTTACACAGAGGATCACAATTATCTGTAACTTCAGTTATAGGGGATCCAATGTCCTCTTCTGTCCTCCTTGGTCACCAGGCATGCATGTTGTGTACATAGATACATACATACATGCAGGCAAGACACTCATCCACATATAAATAAGTATATTTTTTAAAGAGGACAGAAAAGAAGAAAATATTTTAAATTATGGCTAGTGGTGCCCTAAGCTTGATACATATCTACATCCAAGAAGCTCAGAAAGATTCGCAAATCAAATCTGGTAATATACTGTATAAAAAAGGATTAATTATATTCCATGACAAACTGGGATTCACCCCAGGGATGCCAGGTTCATTTAACATTGCAAAATCAGTTAATATGTCATGTCAAAATGTTCTTTTAAAAAGTAAAGACAATCTAATAAGTGCAGAGATATTCCATATTCATCTAAAAGACTGAATATAGTTAAGGCAGTATTCACCATGCTCTTCTACAGTTTAATACAATCCTTGTTAAAATCCCAGCTGGCATTTACAGAAACCAACAAGTTGATTTTAAAATTCAAATATGAAGGGTTGAGGGAGGGGGACAAGAGGTCACATGTAAAGTGAGTGTGTAAAGAAGTCAGAGCAGGTAGTAGGAGGACATAAGGGGACCATGGGAAGAAGACAAGGAGAGAAGTAAATATTTGAAAAAATGCCATAATGAAATCTACTTATTTGTAAGATAATAAAGCTTTCTTCAGATAGACATCCAAGGGACTCTGAATTACTAGAATAGTGTTGACATACAAAACAACTAGAAACCATGAGAGGACTCACACACTTCTTAACTTCAAAACTTACTACAAAGGTACACTAATCATGTGGGATGTCCACTGGAGAAGACAACTGGAACACTGGTTTAAGCTAATATTAGTCCACTGGCAACTACACTGGGTGTTTTGGGATTTCAGTGTAGCCCTGGGCCTTCCTCAGGGTGAGATTTTAAGCACAAAAACAATATCCTGGGTTGACATAGAACAGTTAGTCAGAAGCAGAACTACAGAAGCCAAAAAGCAAGGTTAGTACATTTAGAGACTTTACCAGAATTACGCACTTTGATGGATTAAGTCTTTGTTTTCATGTGCTGAATGGAGTTTTATGGCCTGAATGGTACTTCCATTATGGAGCCATTTGTGCTAAGATCTGGGGGCCTACTACAGTCTGGGCGCCTGTTAAAATCACAGTGTGGTGTGAGTGTTGTGAGAATAGATTATAGATTAGGGATGGAGAGGTGGCTCAGCAGTTAAGAGCACTTGATGCTCTTACAGAGGACCTGGCTTGGTTCCCAACACCATCAACCTCACAGCTGCCTGTACCTCCAGTTCCATAGTATCTGACACCCTCTTCTGACCTCTGAAGGCATTCAAATGTACATGTGCGCACACACACGCACACACACACACACACACGTGCACACACACGCACACACACACACACACACACACGTGCACACGCGCACACACACACACGTGCACACACACACAAAGAATAGACGTAGATCAATGAAGTAGAACTGAGAATTCAGAAATACATACATTTGGGGTCATTTGACTTGAAGCATGGTGGCCAAGAAAATTCATAGGGTTGAATCATGGTCTTTTCAACAAGTGGTGCTGCAATAACTGACATCCCAATGCACAAGATTCTGCTTTGATTTCTGTAACACTCTATATGCAAAAATTAGCACAAAATAAATAAACCTGAATGGAAGGTCTTACACTGTTGGATTTCTAGACAAAACACAGGGGTAAATCTTTATGGTCTTACATTAGGTGGTGATTTTTTTTTTTTTAGCTATGGAACCAGGCACACAATAAATGAAAAATGAATATCAAAATTTCCATGCTTTGGGATGGATGTAGTGGCACACACCTTTAATAGCAGCACTTGAGAGGTATTGATCTCTGAGTTAGTTTGAGGCCAGCCTGGTCTACAGAATGGATTCCAGGCCCGCTAGGGCTACACAGAGAAACTCTGTCTCAAAAAAAAAAAACAAAAAAGAAGCCGGGCGGTGGTGGCGCACACCTTTAATCCCAGCACTTGGGAGGCAGAGCCAGGCGGATCTCTGTGAGTTCGAGGCTAGCCTGGTCTACAAAGCCAGTTCCAGGAAAGGCGCAAAGCTACACAGAGCAACCCTGTCTTGAAAAACCAAAAAAAAAAAAAAAAAAAAAAAAAAAAAAAAGTTTTCATGCTTCTAATGACACCATTATGGAAGTGAAATTAAGCTAGGCCTAGAATTAATAGCAAGACCCCATTTAAAAAAAAACTGAAGTGAAAACGCAAAATGGGAAATACTTGGAAATTACTTGGTAATCTTTTATTCAAGATATATGTAAGAACTATCACAGCTCTGTGGTTTAAAAAAAATCCAGAGTGGAGCAAGGTTCTGAAAAGCCATTTCCAAGAGGGGTGTAAGTATATAGTAACAGTTTGTAGAAGTTGGTCTTGTCTCAGGGTTCCAGCCCATAGTCCTGGGCTCCTTTGATTTTGGGCACATGGTGAGGCAGAACTTGCAGGGCATAAAACATAAAACAACGGCTATGCACCTCTTGTGTGGGAAGCAGAGAAGGAGTGCTGTGATCTCGGTTATCTGCGTCCTCCCCCACCTCCTGAAGTGTCCACTATCTCAAGGGAGAGTACCCACTGAGCACCAGCTACTCAACACATGAGCTGGAGGGGGCCAGAAGTTTCATACTCAGTTTCTAGCATTGCCTGACTCTTAACCTAAGCTACAGACCACACATCCTTAAGCCCTGTCATCTCAATTCATTTCCAAACCCAAGGAAATTAGTCTGGATTCAGGAAGAGCGAGAAATTAGAATTGTACTCAAGCTCTCCATTTAGGAGCTTTCCTAAGGTATTTTGTCACAGTGATGACAAAGCTACCCCAGGCAGTAGCTGAGCCTAAGACCTACTACTCTTGCAGAACACCGTGACTCTGTAAGCCACTTTATATAAGAAAAGCCTTATTGGATAATAACTATGGTATTTCATTCTTTTAGACAGGATCACCTGTATCCCAGGGTGGCCTCGAACTCACTATGTAGCCGGGGATGACCTTAAAATTCTGATCCTCCTGCCCCACCTACAGTGCTAGGATTACAGGTGTGCACCACCATGCACACACAGTATCTGAGGTGCTGGGGATGGAAAGCCTGGCCTTGCATTCTAGCTAGGTAAGCTGTTGATCAAGTGAGCTCCACGCCCAGCCCCTGGCCTAGATACGGAAGCATTTTCCTTGCCCTCCATGGACTTTGAAGTCTTTAAACTCCTCTGTCTGCCTTCTCCTCCTCTCCCTCTTCTAACTTTCTGGGGTAACATTAGTGGAATCCTTTTTGTATCCACACTCTTGCTTAGACTGACAGTGAGGAGGACTCTCCTTGTACTTCAGCATTTTAACGATGGGTGTCTGATTTTCATAGTCAGCCTCTGACGGTTCTTAAGCACTTCTGCCAAGTCTCCCACAAACACTCCAGGGGTTGTGGATTTGGCCTTGAGAAGTAGTTCTGAGCACACTGAGGGGAATCAATTTAGTCTTTAAGGGGGCATTAGAGTCCTCTCTACCTCCTTAGCATCTACATAGTAGGTATAAATTTAAGAGTCAGTGGGCATGAAATGGTATTTCATTGTGGTCTTCCTTCTTGTTTACTTAATGACAGATGATGTGAGCATTTCCTCATGTCTTTCTGGCTATTTGTGATGCAAATAGGGAAAAAGAAGTGAGAGTGTGAGAGTCTGCCTAGGTTAGGGTAGTTGAAGAAAAGAAAGAGCCCAGAGAGGT